TCATCAAGTTCTTTGTGGAGTCTGGCATATAACTGTTCAGCGTTTCTAAAAGCCTGAACTGCTCCAGAAGGCATATGAGGAAAGACCAAAGGTTGACTGAAAAGTGAAAATGAAGGTTGTGGCCAGGTTGATGAAGAATCAAAAGGATTTGGCACCAAAGATATTTTCGGAAAAGTTTGTAGTTGTTTGAGTTTCTGTTGAAGTGATGCCATTTGAGTTTTAAGCGACTTTATTTCTGCTTCCTTCTAGAGAATTTGAGTTGAATGGCTATGAGAGTGCCTGATGAAGTGCATCAATTCTTGATGGAGCTGATGAATCTGTTTTTGTAAACAAGAAATCAGCATAGTGAGTTTTTGGGACTGAGAGTCCACCTGATGAGTTACTATATCCAATTTTTGTTCTATTTTGGTAATGGTTTTATTCTAGGCTAAAGCATTTTCAGTCTACCAGTTAAGAATTGCTTTAGCTTGAGAGAGTTTTGGTGTGGAGCCATCAGGTTGTATGGCTTTGGAAGGAACCACCTTTGGTTGTTGAGTCACGGTTTCCTTAAGAGAAGGAAAATATGTGTCATAATTGAAATTTTGTCCTGTTTTTTTAGGATTAGGTGATTGAATCATCATAATAGATTGGACATGAGGAGTATGAACAAGAGATGAGTGGATAATTTTGTTTTCCTTTGCAATCCACCGAGGCCTGTTGATAACAAGGTAAAGGATTTTTAAAGTAAGGCGATTTAACAGGTTTGGGTAGTTTTCAAGGAGATATGGGTTTAGGTTTTGGAGGAGTGTCTGGTTTAATGGATGGTGATTCTTTGCAGGCTGATGGAGAATATTTGACATAATAGTCAAATTTGTCGGATGGCTGACCAGGAAGGCCAACTTCTGGATCATGGTCTTCAAATCTGGAATGAAAATCTTTCTGATTGCATTGAGATGTTTGTCTTTTCCGTTTATAATGGTTTCGTCTGGAAAGATAAGGCTTGTCAAATTCCCAAATAGGATCATTAAGGCAGTCGGATCATTAAGGCAGTCAGAGCATTGACAGTCAAGATCAAATTGAGTATGACCAGTGATTGGATCAAATTGATGATAGATAGGAGCACCAGATTGTTAAAATGAATGAATGGAAAGTCCAAGTTCTCATATTGCTGTAGCTAGTGAGACTAGAGTGATCATGAATTGAGTTTGTTGGAGACTCAAAGGTGGAGCATTGAGAGTAGTTGGAGACTTAAATTTGATCGTTGTTATACCGTCACTATTATCATGCATGGTAGAGTCTATAGAAACTACTGAAGTTTCTTTTTTATTAAGAGACTTGTAACTTGTCACCCAAGAGTCTGGTAACAGTTTAATCAAGTCATCCCTCGAGATCTACCTGGGAATATTGATACAGTGAGGAGTATTCTAAGAGTCAACAGTAAGAAGCAACGCATCGATAGTCATAGGAATAGCCAGATCAAGAGCATGGTCTTGGATTCGCAAACCCATTTGGTAATGCAAAGTAGCTGCAATACTTCCTGGATTCAAATCTGCACCGACAATCCGTAGTTGAACTTTTAGAGCTTTGGAGCAATGAACGTCAGAGAGAGACATATTGACATTATGAAATAGTGTCATAATGACTGTTCCAACATTCAAAGTTGTATGTGTCATTCCTATGCAAGCATGCTGATAATGGACAAATGTGGTGTCTAACAAAGCGATTCCGACAGAGACTGGGAGTCCGTTTCGGCCATGGTAAGATAAAGCAAGTCTAATAGCACCAAAGTGCACATGAGAGTATCCTTCACGGATCCATTGGGCAATGGAGTCTTGGGGGATTTCTAAAGTAACATATTGTTCTTGAGTTATAGTAGGAATTTGACACTTATTAAAAGTACTAGTTTGGATATACTCTTTTACTGGTTTCGTGGAAGGTCTAATTAGAGTTTTAAAGGTTTTAGACAAGGAAGAAGAAGACTTAGAAAATGTTGTATAAGGATTTACAATAGGAGGGATAATATCTTGAATTTTTTTATTTTTTGGAATATAAGATATTTTATACAAATTATCTACTTTAGAAGAAGATCTAGATAAGCTAGTATTTATTGGAGCTATAAAAGTAGATAAAGATGAAGAAGATTCCATAAGTATGATTTCAACCTTTTGGATGTCTAATACTACCTCAAATAACAAGAATAGCTCAAGATCCATAACAAATTACTAACATAAGACATGAAACATAACCAAGACTTAAAAGGAGTCAATCTCCAAGGGGAGGTAGTCCTCTACACACACATAAATTGGAACCAATAAGTGACTTAAAGAAGCCAATAACCAAGGGGAGGTAGTCCTCCGCACACACAATAATTGAAATCAATAAGTGCATTGGCTCTGATACCAAAAGGGTTACTAGACCTCAGAGATGGTGCCAGAAGATTATGGAGTTTACACATGTGGGAAACTATGATAGCCGACCTATATTAAAATGTAATTTAATTTTAGAATTAAATAAACGAATATTTTATATACAAATATTTTATTAAAAATTTATATGAATAGTTTTTAGATTCTTTATACAAAATAAACTAATGAATAAACATAATGAATAAATCTAAAAATAAGGGTATAGAATAGAATTTTAAAATTAAAAAAGGGTAATGTAGTAATATACTTGGTCAAAATAGCTTATAAGCAGAGTGTCTATAAGCTAAAAAAAAAAAAAAAGTACCTTCCCCCCAACTTATTTCTATAGGTTTATAAACCCAACTTATAAGTCCCAAAAAGTTATAAACAAGCATGTCAGCTTAATTTAGAGTTTATAAGCTAGTTTGATCAACTTATAAGTTCAGACAAACATTCTCTAAATATAAACTAAAGAGTAATACTACACATACATCATTTTCATACAACATTATGTGGCAAGATATGATTGACTAATTTAAAGTTAAAATTAAACTTTTACCCAATCATATCTTGCCACATAATGTTGTATGAGAAATGTTGTATGAGAATGATGTATGTGTAGTATTATTCTAAACTAAATAGTGAGTTGACTTTCTACATCTAGAGAGTCAAATTTCACTTTTTATCCTAATTTTAATTAATAAATTACGAGTTTCTATTAATTTTATTTATTAATTCTTTCTCTTATTAATTTTATTTAAAATTAGCAACCCAACCCGCCCGGGGGTTGCATGCGGGTTGAATCCTCTCTAATATGGGCCGGGTTAAGGTTGACTCGCCTAACCCGGCCCATTTGTTCCACCTTTAATCCCACTCCTATCAACGATATGCAGTGGACTTTCAAGACACGCCGATCTCGTTTTGGGCGTAAATTGTAGCATCGTGATTGGGCATATTCTATCTATTCGCCCGCCAACGTGTGAAAAGTCTGTAGGCTAGTATTAGCAGAACATATAACTGGGCTGGTTTCGGCCCAACCCAATGCGAAGGGCTACGGTACCTCGTTTTAGGCTAGACACAAGCCAGCCTATCCTCAGTCCTTGACTCAGCTATAATTTAATATAGAAGGTAAGTGAAGCCTCACAGTGAACTTGAATTACAGATGCTTAACCTCCAAAGAAGTGGGGGCACTATGCCTAACATCTATGATATTGATGCATATGAATCCATCCACAAATTGCAAATGCCAATTCATGAAATAATCTTATCAGTTCCTCTCCACATCATCCAAACGTTTGTCACGTGTAATTTTGCGACGTCTCTCTCTACATTGCCACTATCGTCATTTCCAAAGAGATTTGAATGAAATAAAACAAATGTTGGATATTTCATAATCAAACATGATTTTTCAGAGACTTATTCTTTTATTTATTTATTTATTTTCACATCCTTTGCGAATGCATGGCTTCCTCGAATTCCAGTGAATTATTATCATCCGAATTTTCTGTAGACGATATTTAATTAGAGAGATATTATCCATCCGTAAAACTTAAATTCATAGTAAGAAATGAAATGAAAATGGGGTTTTGTTTTAGGGATTTGACGCCCTTCATGCTAGAGCCCTTATCAGATTAGACCGTGATCTAAGGGCTCTCAAATATAGGGGAGACTAAAGTTATTATTATACTTTTAAAACATTTTACGTTTGCCATTAATGTTCCATAAGAATATCATCACTTAATTTTATGGATTAAATGTAATATATGTTAATTGGTTGACATAAATTCTAACAAAATATTACTTATAAAAAGATAAATTGTTATTTTAGATATACGAGAGTTAACATGTTTATTCAATGATACCCATTCAAAATATTACTTATAAGAAATGAAATGAAAATGGGGTTTTGTTTTAGGGATTTGACGCCCTTCATGCTAGAGCCCTTATTAGATTAGACCATGATCTAAAGGCTCTCAAATATAGGGGAGACCAAAGTTATTATTATACTTTAAAACATTTTACCTTTGCCATTAATGTTCCATAAGAATACCATCACTTAATTTCATGGATTAAATGTAATATATGTTAATTGGTTGACGTAAATTCTAACAAAATGTTACTTATAAAAAGATAAATTGTTATTTTAGATATAGGAAGGGTTAACATGTTTATTCAATGATACCCATTGAAATGAACAATTGATTTTGTATATCTCCTCCTCTTTCAGTAAAATATTACTATAATATAACATTTCTCATGTATATTTTCCAAATTCCAACTTTGTAGTCTTCATTGATATATAACATAAATATATCACTTGTTACATCATGCTTCATTTATATGGTATCACTTGATGTATCAAGTCCCAATAGTTCCTCCATGAATGCACTAGTATTATTGTCCAACAATTATATGCAAGGAATAGCTATAGTAAAGTTAAACTACACAATGTAATATGTGGATTAAACTTTTATTTATACACAATCACTTATTGTTGCATGCCCTTAATTTACAATCAACATTACTTACTACCTTTATCCCATCCAACATCTTCCCAACGAAAAATACATCTTCCCTGGTGTCACTGGAAGAAAAAAAAAAAAAAAAAAAAACCTGTATTGCCGAACGATAACAAACCACTACTGAATTACTGTAAAACAGGTTAAGTAATAAACAGCACAACCAGCTAGTAAAATATACGGAGACTTACTAATTTTTACATGCCTGACACTGCCACTGCCGCCTGCCTTAGCTTATAAAACCACAATATTGTTCGTTAGGGACATGCCATGAACGGCGGGTACGCTTCTCCATCAATCAACGGGGCATCACTGTTGAACGTCCATCCACAAGAATTACTGTAAAACCCACTATTGATCAACTCAGGCAATTCAATCTCACCCCAGAAGTCATCAACATCACCGTCCGATTCATCGATCTTCTTTGATGAAATCACTGAATGTGCTGCCTGAGCTGCTGCCGCCTGGATATCCCTAGCCGTACAAGTAGAGGGACGTGGCAAGTGATCAACCTCGTCAGGAAAATTTAACTGAGCTTTACGTCCCTTTAAACAGTATGCAGCTACATCGTAAGCCTTAGCAGCCATTTCAGGGATGGGGAATGATCCTAGCCAAATGCGGTTTTTTTTGCGTGGCTCTCTAATTTCAGAAACCCACTTGCCCCACCGCCGTTTTCGAACGCCGTGATATACAGGGTGTCGCGTACCGCCACCTTGGGAGCTCTGTTTACGTTGAATTACGGTGGTGTTTGTTGTGGTAGTTTGCTCATTTTCAGTGTATGGTGGTCGCTCCATTTACATTACTAGCAGCAGTCTGGCTTAATCGATTTAATAGCATTAATATTTATATCCGTAATTGGACAGATGTCGTATTTATGTACAATTACTAAAATGCCCGTCTCTAAGTTTTCGTTGTCAAATTAAAAACAAGCGACTCGAACTCGCTTACGCGCTGTTATATACGTGATGAATGTTGTGTTGTCACATGACCATTGACCTGACAAGATGATAGAGTTTTAATTATTAATATTTTATGTTTAAACATAAATTAAAAGAGATTTTTTAAAATTAATATGAATGATTAATAATTAAAATGTAAAGCAGTGAAATTTGTGTCTCGTAGGAGGAGTGGTGGTGTATTGACACATTGGCAGTATAATGACTGAGTTGCCCTTTCTTGAAAACTCATTGTCAGGGTCTAACGACTACGTAACTTTTGGTCAAGTATAGTGAGACTAGAGGTTGGAGATGGTTCACATGGCGGAGAGTAGCACGAGATTTTAGTGATTTACTTTGTTCTTTTCATGGCCTTTTAATGTGATTCTATTTTTTATATATATTTGATGGCTAGTTTTATAGCCATTTAAATTGAGGGTTGATCATGACAAACTCTCATATGTGAAATTATTATTTATATTATTGGACACATACACAAGGAGACATCCGCATCAATTTAATTGAGGAGACAATGATTTGATAAGGACTACTTAGAAATTACACAAATAACACAATAAACCACATTAAGTTTTCTCAAATCTCTTCCAAACATAAATTATATGTATGTATAGTTCTGGGTGGAATTAAGACAGTATTAGTTTGAACTAAAACAACATGACTTATCAACCTCCTGAAATACCAGGCATATGATTTCTGAGTGATATTGTAAAAATCACATGAGGAGCTGTACAATCATATCATATGTCAAATTATGCTGATGTAGTAATCAAGGGATTTTGGCAAAGTATTTGTTGATTGATTAGTTAGTAACGCAATTCTGAATGTTTAGTTTAATCTCAGATACTCACGGGTTCACCTTTTGCTAATGACTCTGATGTAACACACAAGAAACTCTTATCTAAAACAACTGTCTTCATATGTGATTTAGTGCAACTTTTGATTGGCTGACCATAAAGTAGAAGATAAGAGAAAGTATCTGTGACACCAATCAAGCAATAAAGAAATTTGGTTTTAATTGGTTCATAATTAAAGGGTAACAACGTAACTTGGAAATATAGGTAAATTTGTCTGTTTTCAAATCAAATTATAATATCCACAAAAATAACAAAAGATTTGTATTTGGAGACTGACAAAGAACAATAACATTATGCTTATTTACGAAACTTATTAATTTTTATAAATATAAAATATAGTATGGGTATTATAAATATAATACGAGTATTATATGTAATTTTTTAAAAAATGAATAAAATGGTTAATAAATTCCTAAATAAGCATAACATTACTCGACAAAGAGAGGGTGTGTTTGTTTTGTTACTTTTATCCTATTTTAAAATTATCAGTTTCCTATTCAATGACCACAAATGTTAAATGTGACTTATTTACCTTAGTTGTGGGAACTACTCACCATTAAAATCTTATCTTCTCTATAACATCAAACATCAGCCTCAAGTCACTTTTACGTATATCTATGTGTGTGTCCTTGCCTTTTGTCTTTAGTCAATTTATTTTGGAAAGATATATTTATTTTGAGATCATCTTTTCTATAAATAAAAAATATCTTTGAGTGCATTTGGTTTAGTATTTTGGATAAGATTTTTGAGATAGTATAAGGTTATTAGATAGAAAAGTATTATGAGGTAAATTTTAAAAATTTGCAAAAAAAACCCTTAGGTTTACTCATTTAATTAAAGACCCTAACAGATAAAATGACAAAAACACCCCCACCACCTATAGTGCCAGATTCCAGCCACCACCACCGGAATCTGGCTGAAAAATTTTGTTACTGCACAGACCGGTCGGATCTGTGCTGTAACACGTCGTTATGGCCTTTTCCGGCCAGATCTATGGTGGATCTAACCGGAAAAGGCCAGATCTACGGTCTGTTATGGACGTCGACGGCCGGAAAAGGCCAAACGATGGCCAAAGATGTGGTTGTCGTTTTCGGTCAACGACGGCCATTTCTTTGGCCGTCTCTGAAGGCCAGATCCGTGGTGGATCTGGCCGAAAAAGGCCACATTGGTGAACTTCCGACCATTTCTGGTCGGAAGTTAGGCAGTTGTACAGATTCCGGCTATCACCGATGGTGGTTGCCGGAATCTGACAAGTTGGGTTGATGGGGGTGTTTTTGTTAATTTTCAAACTTTTTTTCAAGGGGTATTTAGTGAAATTAATAACCTTATGGGGTCTAAAAGTAATTAAAAAAATAGGGTAATATTTTTGGAATAATGTGCCAAACATTATTTGAAGAATAGGATCCAGAATATGGATAAAAATACTAAGCCAAACATAGCCTTTATTAATTTTTAAATATAAAGGACATAATTTTTATTCAAATCTAGTAGACTTAAATTTAATGAAAATACTCTTTATTTAAAAAAAAAAGACTTAATAGGAGAAAGAATTAATAAATAAAATGTATAAAAACTTGTAGTTTATTAATTAAAATTAGGATAGAGAGTTAACTCTCTAAATATAGAGTGTCAAAATCACTCTCTAATTTATATTTTAAAGATAAAAAGCTTTTTAGACTTTTATTTGTATGGATAGACTCTTTATAATAAAGAGTTTGAATCATATAAAGAGTCATTTTGAGATACTCTAAGAGACTTTTCCTATCGAAATAATAGTTTAATGACACTTTCCGCATACTAACTTTTAAAATATCATTTTATTATTTAAATTTATATCTTATTTTCGATTCTGACATCATTACGACCTCACACCACCATCATTCTCTTTTCCGATTATCATTTATCAAAACTCCTCAAACCCTACTCCTGTCGACCCCATCAATCACTGGTAATCAAGCAATTAGGGTTTATATAGCCCTTTCTAAGTCGAATTTTGATTAATCTCATTCACCAAAATCCAACCTTCTACCACCAAAAGACTCATTGACCTCCCATCTTCAAAAATCTCAACAACTATAATCGAATTTTACCTTTTTTTATCGTTAAAATATAAATTTGAATAATATAATAATATTTTAAAAGTTTGTGGGTGATAAAGTATCATTAAACCATTATATGAGAGGGAAAAAGTCGTTAACTCTTTATAAAATCTCCCATTTTTTACGTGATATGATGCCAGAAGAACGTCATTGACACCAAACACAGCTTAATTTAATTGCATATCAAGATTCAAACTAGATAGGTAGGAAGGGACCAGGCCGATGCCCTACCTCAAGCGTTGGGACCGCTTTTAAGCTTGCAACTGTCCTTCTGTAGGGACTTTTTAATTGTTAATATCTACTCATAGATATCATAGCGTTATTATTAACACCTACTTTACACTTTCCTTTTGCTATTCTTCTCTTTCACATTATTTATTCAATCAACTTTTTGTTTTTGTTTTCATTACATAGAAGTTATCCCTGATTGAAATCATAAACTTATAATTTAGCTAATTGGAATCAATATATGAGACTGAGAGATGAAGAGTTATGAACAAAAGCGGTGGTTGTGATAACTCTCCCGAAATGACAATGAACAACATTTTTAATAGTCTTTTTTTTCCTTTCCACTGATGATTGCCCTTATGTCTGCTACAATAAATTACTTGTAAGAATAGACACGCGGTAGCATTGTTACTTGCTGTGTTAAAATAGAGAATGAAAGTGGGATCCATCGGAATAGCATCCACCCCACCATCACCATGTTCCTGTGAACAAGAAGATCTTGCTCTCTGTAATCTTCAGTACACTATTAATTTATTATTACAGAGAGAGTCACATGCATTCACCCAAAGAGTATATATAAGTATATCTAAAATATTAATCGCATAGCATGATAATAATTAGATGTCACAGTACGATTTACGTTAAATTAAAGATAAAAATTGAGAATTATCAACTGCCTTTATTTTGTATATATATTGAGTTCTCTTGAGTTGGTTGGTGATACAGTGTCCAAATCTTGCGTGTTCTAGCTAAGCTAAAGTGGACTCACAGTACATTTCTTTTCTTGCGTCCCTATGACGTTAACAAACTTGAAATCACGTTTTTTTTTTTTTTTTTTTGAGCACCTGTAGCCTATGCGGTGGAATGAAATGAGATTCTAATGAACACATATTGGCAGATGGCACGTAGAAATTCTTACACATCACAACTCTGAAACTTTCCCACCCCCCAGTTTCTTATTATCACGATGTAAATAGTATATAACTTCACTTATAATTAAGAAGAATAACTCCGCCACCAAAGTTAGTCACGCTAAAGCTTTATTTGTACTCTCCCTTTATTTTTAAGAACAAATCCAACACCTCCGCCGTCCGGCATATTAAACAGCTGCCTCAACACCCTTAGAAGAATATTTTAAATATCGTGTTACAATTAAATAATGTATTTCAACCTTGAAAAATGCAGTTATGCAAAATTATATTTTACAGGGAGAAGGGCTGTCATGATTAATGGATGAAGGTTTTCCAGTTATTTATAGTCATAGATGGTGAGTGATAATGAACTCAACAGGCCAGGAGTGCAATAATTAATCAACAAGGGAGAATGATAGTTTCTGAAACGGATAAAGGTGTAGATTAATTATGACAACATATAAATTTATATTAACACAGTTTCGTATCTTATTCGTAAATAAACAATTGCTGAAATAAATTGTACGATAAACTTGAATAAACGGAGTTTTGAAACCATTGTTAAATAAACCAACACTAGAATTGTAACAGTTCTTGTGTGATCCATCCCATGGCCATGGACATTCAACCCCCAACAACTAACGCGAAGAAGAAAATTAATTTGATCAAAACCAGCTTACAGTTTCGTATAAAATATAAGTTATCTACAAAGTTGGGTGCAAATATTGTTTCAATTACTGTCATTACATAATCCG